TTGAACATGAGCTTAATTAATCAGTCAGATTATTATAATGTCGAGAAACTGGTTCCAAATTGTGTCAATTCAGCAAAAGCCTGTGGTAATTAATTCTTTTTCTGATGAAGGACAACTTTTATTCTTTATTCATTCTTGGAAAATCAAGTGCTTGATATGGACTAGTACTTTTTCATCAGAGTCTGGAGGTGGGAATACTACTTGTGTTTCTTCTTTTGAAGCCTGCGGGTCAATATTAGACGAAATATTGTCGATTGCTGGTAACATAAACGTAAGTTAAATAACATAAAATGATTCAAATCAGCATGCATTTCCAGTTCTGATGATGAGTTCTTTTGTTGAATCTTTGATTCAACAGTACTATGATATTAGAAAGAAATGCGAGGGGCCACTCTGCTACGATTTATCTGCAATTGAGACATTTCTGAATGAGAAGTCAGTCAAGGAAGCACTTGGGGTCGGAAACATAACCTTCGTTTCCTGCAGCACTGATGTATACGTTAGGATGGAGGGAGACTGGATGAAGAATCTGGCAGTTGGAATTCCTGAGCTGCTTGAGGACGGTATCAGGGTTCTACTGTACGAAGGGGAGTATGACCTCATCTGCAACTGGCTTGGTGAGACCCTCTACAGGTTTTATATGCATATCAAAGAAGAGAAACAATGTAAAATTTTCTGTGTCTGTTCAGCTCAAGTGTTTCTATGTGTCCAGGAAATTACCGGTGGGTTAATGCACTGAACTGGTCTGGCCAGAAGGACTTCTTAGCAGCTCCGATAGTTCCTTTTGTAGTTGATAGAAAGGAAGCAGGAAAGCTGAAGACTCATGGACCCCTGTCTTTCCTCAAGGTATTGAACTTTTAATATCAGTTCCTGTGTCTTAACATTACCTTCAACGCAAATTTTCTAAAGACTTGATTGTTATGTGGGAAAAACATACAGGTCCATAATGCAGGCCACATGGTTCCAATGGATCAGCCAAAAAATTCCTTGCAGATGCTGAAGCGATGGATTAAAGGGAAATTGGCTGTGCAACGCTCCGAGAGGACTGCTCCTAATCCCAAGTAATGTTACTGATGCACTCCGCAACACACAAAGACCATCTGCCAATCCCAGTATTACCTCATTGTAAACGCAATTATGATTTTCTGCACACTCAATAATTCCTGTCTGTCTGCCCCTTTCAAGTATATACCACTGCAGGAGTATCTACTGATCGGGCAGCGATTTACAAAAAAAAGTTTGTCATATTGTTTATGTATTGTACTGATTCTAAGCACACAATTAACAGAAGTTCCACAGAAACAACCAATTACGTTTTTAATTGATCTGTACAGTTCAAATAATACAAATTAAACAGTAGATATAGTACCAAGATATTAAAGTACAAAATCTTGATGATAAGATCAAACTCCTACTAACAAATACGGTTTGCATAAGATCTCCTTGCTCAGACATTATTGATGATATCACAAAAGCATTTCTATCCTGGAAATGGTAGGGGAACTAAACAGATACAGAAAATAAATGGAAAGACGGGTTAAGGACCACCCTTGTGCACTACACAATTCTCTCAGGGTCTGAATTACAGGCTGGAAACCTGACCTTAAAGGAACTATGGTCACTGCTCTTAGATGCTGAGCATTCAGATTCTTTGGTTTTGACAAAGTCATTTGGAGCATCTCTCCCTCCAGAACTTTATTTGCATTTTCAGCTGCATGAAACATCCCACAGGAAATAAGTGATTTGGATTATTGAAGACACTTCCAGTTCCAGGCACAAACCTAGGAACAAAAAAGAAGAACAGATTTGTGCAAAACCACCTATTTGAGTTTAAGAACCAGAATAAGAC